GTCATTATGGTAGGCTGCAGTGATCTGAACCACTGCTGTAGGACACAAAAAATAGCATTTTTTCAGTGTAACTACAAAACAGCAGTCCAGACTATGGAGCCTACTAAGCTGTCATTTGGGCACTATCACAGCTATAATTTTGTTTCCACAAAATGTCATAAAACCAAAATATTTTGCAAAATTTCACAACTGTGTCCCTTCCCTGCCTCCCTGCCACCTTCTTCCAAGAAAAATGGAATGAGGCTTGGGTCTTGTAGTTCTGGGACTAAAGGAAATAACGGTAATTTTTAAAGCTTCTTACAAACAAGGAGGGAGAGGGCTCAAGAGCCCTACCTGAACTGTCACAGAGGTTCCCAGCCCCTGGTATTGTGGTCTTCTACAGTGTTCTTGCAAGTGGTGGCCTGCCTGGGAATGCCTGGGAGAAAACTCTGTGTTGGAATGCACTAGAATTCCCATCTGGCACTGACGCTGCAGCCTCAGGAAATTGTTTACATACCAAATATAAACCGAAGCATGATGCCACCAAGACCTTCGCAAAAACCCACAAAAATAGCAGCCTGCTGATTTTAGTCCATCTCCAATTTACAATTAGACAGCACTTTTGTGAGCTAGGCTTTAGCAAGGCATGCTGCTTCCATTCAACCGTAACATAACCTCCATTACAAGACTAGTTGCTGTATTTTCCCGGTGGCTCAGGAAAACTCATTTTTGTGTTGACAGTGTTAGCTCCACTTACCCTCCCAGAACTTCGTTCCGGTTGACTTCATAATAACTGTTGACCACTGCCTTTTTTGCTGAGACAATCCGGTGATCAAACGGCGCTGGAGGAGCAGGACCATCACCTACAAAAGACAAAACAGAGAGCTGGCATGTTAGTACCAACATGCACCATTTATTACTTACATTAAACCCTGTTTCCTAATAAATAAAATGATCTACAGATTTAATGACCAGGTGGCAAGTTTTACTCATGGGGGCGTCTCTTTAGGACTTAGGGACAAATCTTATTCCCTGAGCATAGCCTGAGTAAATGTGATGTTTGTAAGGGAGTTATCCAAGGGACAAGAAGAAAATGAGCCCACCCTTACCACTATGGCACAGAGTATTCCATCAGTGAGACTGCAGTTACCTAGGTTTTGGCCAGTGGAACCTCGTAGAATTGGACCCAGTGGCTGTCCTTGCGTTCTACCCCAAAGGCATTCTTTTACGAGCCTGCTGAAAAGGCCACTGTGGAGACATGCAGTCCACATGTTCCTACAGTGGTTCTGTGGCCTTTGTGGCCTCTGTCCTACACTTGTTCCTGCCTAGGAGAATTTCCTCTTTAGTGAGGCATCATTCATTCTGCTAACGTACTGCCAAATTCTGCACCAACTATGTTTGTGCCACCCCACTGAAGACACTCCCCATCCAGGAGGCACCAAGAATTCATGTGTCAGCACACTGGGCGCACAAGTCAGGTGAGGGCACGTAGCTGTCCAGCATTACTTCATACCCACAATGGGGCATGAACAAGTAGATTGGGGGCGTCACCATGTTTTCTCTCACACACTTACTAATGCCTAGAGGTTACCAACACGGGAGTACCTGCTGCAACTTTTTAAAGGGGTAGTAAGAGCCATTGTTCAGTGTGTTCTCTTCTAGACCCACCTAGGCGATTTGTCTGCCTCCGCCATACCCAATGCAGAATGCCTCTAGCCTCTATCACTTCAACGGTACAGCTTTTCATTGTCCCTTGCATGGCTATTGTTCTTAAAGACCAGGTTTAGGGCTTATCTACATTAGGGAGTTTGCACTGGCATAAGCTACGTAGATGCAAAGCTACCCTGTGGCATCTAGAGGTTCCAACAGTACAGTGGTAGGCACTGTATATACACATTATAAGTTCCTGCCCTGAAGAGCTTACAGTCTAAACAGAGACGGCAGACAGAAGGCTGAAAGGCGAAAGAGAGGCACAAAGATGAAATCACTTGCTGTAGGTCATAAACCCAGGTCACCTGAGTTGCAATCTAGTGCTCTATCCACTGCACCATGCAGCCTGACTGAGGCAAAAATCCCTATTGTAGACAAGCCCTTAACCCCTAAATTTGTGTTTAGATTTTTGTGGGGTGATAAGTTTTTCGTTTTATGCCCACATTGTTTGTCTGTTGATTTATATTCCTCGGAATGACCTTTGGCTGACCAAGGTGACAAACATTTCTACCAAGGGAAAGAAGGGCTAGAATGGTGATGCTTCTATATGATCTCTTTGGTTTGGAATGCTGCATGTGGAACTTTTTGAGCAATTTTAAAACCATTCATTACTTCAGTGAAAATGATAAAAAAGAAATCCCATGACAGCATATAGTTGGCAGGAATCCTCTGGTCATTAATGTAAGACTGGATTGTCCTTATTCACAGGGCATGTCCATTTTTCCAGGACACCAGCTGCGTACCCAGATTTTTTTAATGTGTTAATAACTTACATGGCCAGTGAGTTAGTTCACGGTCAAGGCATTGCAGAAAGCCAGGGCTCCTGGAATTTTGCCACCTACTTTGGATTCTGCAGGGGTTGAATTGCAGACTTTAAACAGGGGCCTTTGCATGTTACTGAGGCCTATAACATGCAAAGAAGTTCTCTTCCTCTTGAGCAAGGATTTGACCCTGAAGAGCTGCAAACTTCCAGTGTATAAATTATAACAACACAAGAAAACAGGTTTCCAAGAGAGACTGAAAGACTCACAAAAAATTACCATTTCTGGGCTAAAAAATGTTAACTTCCTAAGTGTTAAGGCCTGAAAGGACCAGTGCGAGCCTCTAGTCTGACCTGTGGTATCAACTGCTTTCAGCCAGATTTTCCCAAGATACTTTATACTTTCCAACTCTCAGAACAGAATATTCTAAAAACAAAGGTCAGATCAAATCCTCAGCTGATAAAAAATTTAACATAACTCTACTGAAGTAAATGGAGTGACACTGATTTGCATCAACTAGGGCTCTGGCCCGTATGAACAAATGGTTTTGCTCATAGTTACGATACATATGCCTTTTTTTTTAAGCAAAAGCTATTTCCTACCAATTACAGTCACCAAATCTTCTATAGATGCCTCTGCTTGATTATCACTCTCTGTACCAGTGGAATCAGCTGCCTTTGGTTTGTCTTGTGGAGTATTTGGTTTAATGGCCTCTTTACGTTTACATTTGTCACCAGCACTCTCTGCGTCTACCCTGCTCTTTTTGTTGTCAGCTTTGATTAGACCTTCATCATTCACTCGACGCTTACTGCTGCCTCTATGCTCAAGCTGGCAGGTCTGCTCAGGGTTCTGGGAGAACGTCCCTGATGGTTTGCTTCCTGTGCCTTTTTCACTGCCTTTACACCTGCAAGACAAAGCATTGCATTACATTGGTATAAACTTAAAGCAGAATGAACGCAGAACTAAAGGTGAGAAATTCCAGGGACAGGCTGCCTTTAAATAACATTTATTTATTTTTGCTTTATTGTGTAAAGTAATAATGGTAACTAACTAGGGTAAGCTTCCTTTTCTAGAATAAAATAAACCTGACAGCAGCAAATTTCCTATTTCTGAAACAACAGCCTGAATTCTGCTGATTTCATATTTGACTATCAACCACATCTTCAAAGTAGTGGGAGAACTCTCTTTGTTTATAAAGATCCTTGAGAGCTTGAACCACTTATCTCTGAAGGTCTATAAATAATGCAGCACAGAAGAATCAGAGTAAACAAGCTTAACAATTTAGTTCCCTGGGCAAGTGTCACAGTTTTATGTTACCACTTGTATTATTAGATATTGCAGTGCAATTCCAAACTAGTACACTCTCTATTCTAACCTTACTTTGGTCACAAGTTACATGGTGTGGAACATAAACATGACAGAAGGGGAGGATGCTTCTTAGAGATGAAGAACTGTTGACTATCCAGCTGCCCTTTCTTTGTTCCAGACCTTCTTTCTGAGCAAATGGCAAACACGTAAGACAGTACTGGTTTTGTCATGTGTGGCAGGTTGTCAATCTGGAGACAGAGCCAGTCTGTTAAACCCACTTTCGTTTGGATATTGGGCTGGATTTATGACATAGCTCTGAAATAAATATTCCTAATATACTTACTTGATTTAATGCTTGAAATAAATGGCTTTCTGGAATATGGGTCTTTAAGAATAGGCTAATGTACGCTTTGGGTTTTAAATCTTACCTTTGAAGCCGTGCATCTTGTCCCTGGCTTTCTGCTGGACCCTCATCATCCTCTGCCTCATGTTCATTTTGGGATGCAGTTGCTGATTCTTCCTCCTCTTCTTCACAGTGACCAGCATCATCCTCTTCTTCTTCCTCCTCTTGCCTTTCTTCTTCAGGCACTTGCTGTCCACCAGCCCTCTTCACACCTTCCAGGGATTCACTTTCCTTCTCTTCATCTTGCCCTGTTATCCTTTGGTTAATGTCATCAACAGCAACCTCTGCTCCTTGGCTCTTTCTTGTACTAAAGGATGTTTGAACATAGCTCTTTGTGTGTTCCTTCTGACTTTTCAAAGCTAAATCCTCTCCCTTGTTCTTTGGCCCTTGAGATTTGGGAGAACTTCTTTGAACCAAAAAAGCACTTGCCTTTTCAGTATTTTCCTTATTGAGCATATGGACCGTTTCTTTGTGAGTGCAGGACTGGTTTTCTTGGTTGGCTCCCTCTGGAAACAATCAGACAATACCAAGCATATTAACTAAGGACTTATGTAATTACCATGATTTCCATTACTTACTGAGTAGGCACCTGTTTTTCTCCTCTACTTTCCAAGGTCAATGGAAATGTTTTCTAAGCAATAGTAATGGTCATGAGCTTTCAAGCAAAGTATAATTTTTTTAAAAAACCCATTATATAAAGCACCTACAGATTCTTGCCCTTCAGATGTAGCCCTTTCAAATATTTTTCTTATTTAAACTCATGGTGAACTAAGTCTAGTTTAATAAAATATTCAAGCAAAAGCACCTTCTTGGAAAGTTTATGACCATGTACAAAGGCAAGGCAACACATAATGCACTGACGGTAATAGAGTAAATGACCCTTCAATGTCTAGGTACTGATTGGGCAACCTTACTCATGTTACTCTTACTTACTTGTTCACAAGATTAGCCCCAATTATTTCAGCCAGACTACTCATTTGAGTAAGGAAGGGTTCCAAAACTGGGCCCTTAGACACCATGCAGAGTGAAAGCTCTAACCTGTGGAATCGGGTGGTTTCTTCTTTTTTATAAACTTTGTTCCCTTTGCACTTAAACATGACTTCTCCTTTTCTTTCTGATCCCTGATGGCCTGTAGGAATGCAAGCAATACATTAGTCACTGTGCACAGCATTCACATTGCACTGTTATTTGCAAAACTGCATTCTTTCTTTTGAATAAAACCAAACATTTTGCACAAATTGATTCAAAATCCATCTTTAAGTGTTATTGACAGTATGCATGAAGTATTCAGTTTTAGGTGCCATCGACCTGATTCTGTTTGTACCAATGTAAATCAGGAGTAACTCCCTGGGTTGAAATCAATGGAGTTACACTAATGTAAAACTAGCATAGAAAAAATCAGAATCAAGCCTCATGAGCTGACAAATAATCCACAAGAAAAAAACTTACCAGCTTTTAAAAATTAGGTTGGTTAGTCTAAAACAAAGTTAATATTTATTATGCTGGTAAAATATTCAGTAATAGCCTTACTGATAGATTTTAAATAGATTTGTGCTGTTAAACAACATCTGGTAACTTCTGTAGATGAGAGAGACAAGCTTCCAAGCCACACAGAGCTCTTCTTCAGGTCTTCTTCAGCAGACCCGAAGAAGAGCTCTGTGTGGCTCGAAAGCTTGTCTCTTTCACCAACAGAAGTTGGTCCAATAAAATATATTACCACACCCACCTTGTCTTGCTAGTATCCTCAGACTAACATGGCTATAACTACACTGCATACAACATCTGGTAACAGCATTTTTAATAATTTATTGCAAGCTGATAAAACAGTTACCAGGAATCAAAGAATATAAAACCATAATCTTAGCTTTGTAGCCTACACTATGTCTATATTCTACAATGTTATACTGACATCTAGAGGACTTTTGTACTGAACAGACTTCCCATAAAACGGAAGTATTATTGTTACATTTATAGCTATGTAATAATATATCTATGGAATTTGTTCATTGTCTTTTTCTTTAAATATTCGTAATGTACTAGTAAAGTGGTAACATCACAATCAGTGACATAAATGATTCATCAATATTCCATTTTCCTCTAGCTCCCTCCTAACCTCTTCATAGTAAAAATGAAACATATATATTGTTAATAACAGAAATGGGTCCAAAAGGGTGTAAACAATTAGATACTTCCAAGTAACTTTCAGAAGAATTTCTTCCAGATTAGGGTGTTACTCTGTCTCTCTCTTTGAATCACCCACTAAAATTGCTTGATACCTATTTCTGCCGAGTATACTGGACCAGGCACCTAAACTTGCTTGCTTTATTCATGCAAGTAATCCTACTGTTTACTCATGGGAATAAAATGAGCACGACTTGATGCCAGAACTATATACACTCCCTGGTAACTTCTTTAAAGGATTTTTTTTAATATACAGTACTAAATAGAACTATACAGATAACAGGAACCAAATGAAAACTACATGTACTCTCTAAAGCTACTGTATCCAAAGCATACTGAACTCGACAGGAAACAAAGAGAAATTAAAAAAAAAAAAGAAATCGTATGAAAGGAGTTGGAAATGGTGAGATACGCAGTTTGCATCTACAGCTAGCCTGGCTATTACAAAAAATTCCTATCCATAACAGACAAGGAATCTGTGCTGTAAGAACTGTGACTGACAACTGTTTTGAATACAGTTGTTCCTAGCAGGATTCAAGCTATAACATGAAGAGGGCTTAAATATGAGCACATAACTCCCCTCAAAAAACAAGCTGGAGCCTTGTCAGTTAAGATGCTCAATGAACCTAAATCTAAGAATGTTCCATGAATCTAAATTCTGAACTGATCATAAAGAATGGGTCATTGCTTGCTTTGGTTTTCTGCTCTGCGGTGACCTTAGACCAAGAAGTTAATGCAATTACTAATGCACTCTGGTTCCTGTAAGTATGCCCTCCTGGCAATGTTGATGAGGACACTGACTATAATCAAATATAGTCAGCTGAGCAAATAACCATGCAAGTGGACTCCAAGGACTTTTTATACATGGAGCCAAATTTCATTTCTGCATCCAAAAATAATTGCAGGTATACAGTGCTTTCTCACTAAATATTTTTGCAGTCTGCAGGTGTGAAAAATGGACGGCAGCTTTTGAAAATCTGCCTGGTAGAAATGTGGATGATGCCGAGTATCTGCAACTGCTTGACAGCTCCATAAATCACTACAGTATTTATTCAAACATAGTTTTTGAATGCCTATAGTTTAGCAGGGGTTGAGGCGCTCATGCTTATTTAAGTGAAAAAACTAATCCAGCTGGTACAAAATGAAATGGGTTGAAGCATTTACTTGCATCCTTCAGACTCGGTAAGTATCGGTTGTTTATGACCAATAAGTGGCACATGGTAAGGCCACTAGGATGAAGTACAATTAATGCCAAGACTGGAAGTATGACAGAGAGTACCCATAGTATATACGGGAACTTAAGATGTACACTTGAGGTTTTTGCCATTACAGATAAATTGTGCCTCTTGTTTGACTTGTCAAATCTTAGCTTAGGGGTAAAAATATGAACTTTCAGTCATCGCTTTTTCTCAAAGGGCCAGATTGTGCCTGGCTCCTGTAGAGCTGGCTGGGACCAGGGGGAGTAGACGGAGTGTCCTTCAAAAAGGGTGGACCAGTTTTTGACTGGAAAGTCTGGTTGAAAAGGGGACCTGACAGTGTCTGGTCAGATCTACTGACTGGACACCCAAAGTCCAGTTACTGCAACCGAGGGAGACAGGGAGGTGCCAAGTCATCACCTGTGCCAGCCCCTACTCAGCCAGGGCCAGCTCAAACTAGCTACAGGAATAAAGAGAAACAAGAAGACTTTTTATCAATACATTAGAAGCAAGAGGAAGACCAAGGACAGGGTAGGCCCACTGCTCAGTGAAGAGGGAGAAACAGTAACAGGAAACTTGGAAATGGCAGAGATGACTTCTTTGTTTCGGTCTTCACGGAGAAGTCTGAAGGAATGTTTAACATAGTGAATGCTAATGGCAAGCGGGTAGGTTTAGAAGATAAAATAAAAAAAGAACAAGTTAAAAATCACTTAGAAAAGTTAGATGCCTGCAAGTCACCAGGGCCTGATGAAATGCATCCTAGAATACTCAAGGAGCTAATAGAGGAGGTATCTGAGCCTCTAGCTATTATCTTTGGAAAATCATAGGAGACAGGAGAGATTCCAGAAGACTGGAAAAGGGCAAATATAGTGCCCATCTATAAAAAGGGAAATAAAAACAACCCAGGAAACTACAGACCAGTTAGTTTAATTTCTGTGACAGGGAAGATAATGGAGCAAGTAATTAAGGAAATCATCTGCAAACACTTGGAAGGTGGTAAGGTGATAGGGAATAGCCATGGATTTGTAAAGAACAAATCATGTCAAACTAATCTGATAGCTTTCTTTGATAGGATAACGAGTCTTGTGGATAAGGGAGAAGCGGTGGATGTGGTATACCTAGACTTTAGTAAGGCATTTGATACGGTCTCGCATGATATTTTTATCAATAAACTAGGCAAATACAATGGGGCTACTATAAGGTGGGTGCAAAACTGGCTGGATAACTGTACTCAGAGAGTAGTTATTAATGGTTCCCAATCCTGCTGGAAATGTATAACAAGTGGGGTTCCGCGGGGATCTGTTTTGGAACCGGCTCTGTTCAGTATCTTCATCAACGACTTAGATATTGGCATAGAAAGTACACTTATTAAGTTTGCAGATGATACCAAACTGGGAGGGACTGCAACTGCTTTGGAGGATAGGGTCATCATCCAAAATGATCTGAACAAATTGGTCTGAGGTAAACAGGATGAAGTTTAACAAAGACAAATGCAAAGTGCTCCACTTAGGAAGGAACAATCAGTTGCACACATACAGAATGGGCAGAATGGGAAGAGACTGTCTAGGAAGGCAGAAAGGGATCTAGGGGTTATAGTGGACCACAAGCTAAATATGAGTCAACAGTGTGATGCTGTTGCAAAAAAGCAAACATGATTCTGGGATGCATTAACAGGTGTGTTGTGAGCAAGACACGAGAAGTCATTCTTCTGCTCTACTCTGCGCTAGTTAGGCCTCAACTGGAGTATTGTGTCCAGTTCTGGGCACCACATTTCAAGAAAGTTGTGGAGAAATTGGAGAGGGTCCAGAGAAGAGTAACAAGAATGTCGATTTAAGATCTTGAGAACATGACCTATGAAGGAAGGCTGAAAGAATTGGGTTTGTTTAGTTTGGAAAAAAGAAGACTGAGAGGGGACATGATAGCAGTTTTCAGGTATCTAAAAAGGTGTCATAAGGAGGAGGGAGAAAACTTGTTCACCTTAGCCTCTCAGGATAGAATAAGAAGCAATGGGCTTAAACTGCAGCAAGGGAGGTCTAGTTGGACATTAGGAAAAAGTTCCTAACTGTCAGGGTGGTTAAACACTGGAATAAGTTGCCTAGGGAGGTTGTGGAATCTCCATCTCTGGAGATATTTAAGAGTAGGTTAGATAAATGTCTATCAGGGATGGTCTACTCTAGACAGTATTTGGTCCTCCCATGAGGGCAGGGGACTTGACTTGATGACCTCTCGAGGTCCCTTCCAGTCCTAGAATCTATGAATCTAAGCTCCTACCCGCATCAGGCGGCTGCAGCTCCCAATCCTGGCTCTGCAGGCAATGGGGGGAGAGGTGAAAAGTAGTGAGTGACAGAGGGAAGGAGAAAGAGGAGCAAATGGGGGGCAGGGCCTCAGGGGCAAGGGTCAGGGCAGGGCCTTGGGGAAAGAGGTAGGGGTGGGGCCTCAGGGGTAAGAGGCAGGGCAGGGGAGACTCCAACAGGTGTGCTCAGTTTTTAAATATTATGAAGTTGGCAGCCCTAGGACTAGTGGCTGTATTCTGTGGGATCTGCAGGAGGCCCTGCACTTTTCTGCGGCACAAGTTCCTATTGGGAGTATGACTCCTCTGCACCCGAAGGCAGAGCAATGCCTTAACACTGGGATTTTCTTAGGAGAGGAAATTAGCCGACCAATTCTCTTTGAATTGCAATAGGATCTGACCATCTAACTCGGTTAGACTCTTTTGAAAATGTCACCCTAAAGGCACAACTCATTCCTCTGC